AAAAAAAAAAGCCAAACAAACAAACAAACAAACACCAACCAAAAGTCGTTTCTACCACTGCAGGGACGTTCCGACCCGCTGCAAACTGTAAAAAAAACAAAAACAAAAACAAAAACAAAAACCCCCGAGCTTTTTTTTTTTATATATATATTAAAAAACAATTTTACATTTTACAGCTTTCTACACGCATGCACAAGGTCTGGGCTCTGCTGGAAAGAGAATCGAACCAACCCCAAGAAGGGACCCCAAAAAAAAACCAAACAAAAAAAAGGCTTTTCTTCTTCTTCTTTTTCTTCTTCTTCTTCTTCTTCTTCAACTCACAAGTGGAAAAATCCCCTCCCTTCCCTGGCCGACCCTTCTTCTTGCTTGCTGAATTTTTTCTTTTTTTGTAGTAAAACACCCCAAAAATGGGCCCCCACTGGGGAGGGTGGAAGTGGATCCTTCAGCCTCACGAGGCTGAAGATGAGGGGAGCGGCAGGAGGGGTTAAAAATTCCCCCAAAAACGGAGATTTCCCGGAATTCGGGAATTCCAACCCCCGAGCAGCGAGCGCTTGGGTGGGGTTGGACCCCCCTCCAGCACCAGGGAAAGCTCCCCCTTCTCTTCCTTTCCCACCTGCCCCCCGAATTCCCACCCTTTTTAGTGCTTAGGATAAAACCAACCCCCAAAATCCAACCCAAGCCGAGCCTCCTCGGGATGAAATCGGCACCTCCACGAGCAAACCAACCCCCCCCCCACACCAGGAACCAGCCACCCACTCCCACGGGTGGCCCCACAGGACCCCCCCCCCCACCGTGGCGTGGCTGGACGTGGGATCCGGTGGGAAAAGGTGAATAATGAAAATAAATCCATGAGGTATTTGAGAACCTCGACCAGAAACCAGGAGGAGGCAAATTTGTCACGTCCCAAGGGGAATAATTCTGCGGGAATCACCGAGGGGCGGGGATTAAGGACCTTGTTGACCCCCTCCCAGGAGCCCCTCGGGGTTAGAGATCCAGGATTTGGACCCCCAGGAGATGTTTGAAGCTGCTTTTTGCCTCCAATTCCAGCTCCAAGTGTACCGGGAGAAGCCCCACGGAGGTGCTGCTGGAGCGGCAGAACCCACGTGAAAACACCGAAAACCAACCCCCTGCTGTGAAAACACCCAAACCAACCTCCTGCTCCTCTGAAAAAAAAACCCAAAAAAATCAGATTTCCACTCGTTTTTGCTTAAAAAAAAACCAAAACCATCAGCAGAGGCGAGGAGGAAGCTCCTCCAGCCCGGAGTGTCCTGGAAGGCAAGGGGAAGGTTTTTCATAGCAGCTGTGGAATGTGTTTGCAAAATACTCTCCCCTCCTTCCCTCCCCCACCCCCTCAAAATAAAAAAAAATCTCTAGGATTAAAAAAAAAACCAGCCCCAAAGGCTGGGCTTGAAGTGGTTTAAGGCCAGAGCCAGGACAGGAGGAAAAGGGGGGCGAGGAGAGCAGGAGATCCTGGTGGGACCCGGTGGTTGCTCGGAGATGCTGGTGAAGAAGGTTTGGGATTAGCCCTTGAGTTGTGGCCACCGGGTCACTGTCACCCCTTCCTGGCCGTGCTGGGGAGATGCTACAAGGCCCTGGGTTTCAGGGAGGAGGAGGAGGAGGAAGGGCTCAGCCCACCCCGAGGGGGGCCGTGATGAGGCGGGCGCCGGAGCCGCTTCCCGGAGTTCTGCCCAAGGTCCTTCTGGTCCTGGACCACCAAAATCCTCGGTGACTCCCTCCAAAGCGACCTCCCCGAGCCTCTGCACGGACAGAGGGGAGCGGGGAGGGTCTCTCAGCCGCTCCCCCCCCCTGCTCAGCTCACACGGAGGTCTCCGACTGCAGCCTCATGATGAACTTGTGCGACTTGGGGTCCACGAACTCCTCGGAGAGCTTGAAGAAGGGGATCTTCTTGGCGCTCACCACCAGGCTGAAGTCCTGGCGCTTCAGCACGAAGACCACGCCGTCCTTCAGGCCGTTGGTCACCGGCTCCTCGCTGACCAGCGTCCACTGCTTGGCCAGCCAGCGGTCCTTGTGGTACTGGATGGTGGGCCCGGCCGTCAAGTACCGCTCCAGGAAGGCCTTGGGGGTGGAAAGGACACGGGGATGTCACGGGGGATTTCACCTTCCCCCGTGGCTCAGCCCTGGTTGGTGGTTTTTTTTTGTTTTGTGTCCCATCCCCACCTTGGCCCACAGCCCAGAGCACTCAGTGCCACGTCCTTGGACATCTCCAGGGGTGGGGACTCCCCCCACTTCCCTGGGCAGCTCCTGCCAAGGCCTCACCACCCTTTCCAGCAAGAAATTCCTCCTCATGGCCAACCTGACCCTCCCCTGGCACAGCTTGAGGACTTCTCCTCCTGTCCTTGTCCCCCCTCTTTGCCCTCCCACATGGGGTAAAAAAAAACTCCCACCCAAGTCCTCGTGGTTGAGCAAAGCTGTGGAGCTGCCCCTCCCCACGCACCTTGGGCGTCATGTCGTGGGTGATGCAGAACTCCAGGTGCTGCAGGATGCTCTCCATGGTGTGGTAGGGCTGCTGCTTGGTGGTCCTCAGGTACTTCTGCATGGCCCTGGCCATGGAGGCGAAGATGGCCTGGGCAGCCTCCCGGGGGTCCATGATCTCCCGTGGGTTCTTCTGGTCCTCCTCCTGCAGCCTCTTGATGTGGGTGAAGGCTTCTTCCACTGCTACCACCAGCCTGTGGGGACGAGAGACAAGGATGTGGGCAGGGTGGGACAAGAGATCCCTGGGTTTGGGGGGAGCCCCTCTACGGATGGAGCTCAAATTCCAGCCCAAAACAGCTTTGTGGGAGATCCCTCCACGCCACCACGGATGGACTGGAAGTGGTGACCCACGGGGAGAGGAGCCCACAGGGGAGCAGGTCTAATGGTAGAATTTATGAGGCTGTATCCCCATGGAATACAGAACTGGAGCAGTTCCTGAAGGACTGACCCCATGGAATACAGAACTGGAGCAGTTCCTGAAGGACTGACCCCACAAAATACAGAGATGGAGCAATTCCTGAAGGACTGACCCCATGGAATACAGAGCTGGAGCAGTTCCCAAAGGACTGACCCCATGGAATACAGAGCTGGAGCAGTTCCTGAAGGACTGACCCCACAGAACACGGACCTGGAGCAGTTCCCGAAGGAACCCTCCACGAGAACCCGTCCGTGGGCCCCTCTCCGGGGTGCCCAGCCCGTACCTGGCGCGGCGTTTGCGCACGCGGCGCTCGTGCTCGGCCTCCTCGTAGTAGTACTCGTTGTGGCTGTTGTCGCGGCGCCGCGCGGCCGCGGCGATGACGGCGCGGGACTGCCCCGTGGAGTTGTTGGTGGAGTTCTCTGCCGGCAACAACAATGGGGAGGTCGGACAAGGGATGGAGAGGCCCCGGGAGTGCCCGGCGCTCTCCGGAGCGGGAGGGGAAGGAGAGGGCAAGAGGAGGTGGAAGGGGGGAAGAGGAGCTCACCCTCGCCGAGGGAATAGACCTTAAAGCCGGACATTTTCTTGGACAGGACGGATTTTGGCAGGTTGAGGAGGGCGGGGTTGTAGACCGGGAAATCGTGGTAGTAGTTCTCCAGGATCCACACGGCTGCTCGTTGGATGCTGCCGGGCACGGAATGAGAGTCAGGAGCGTGTGGGGAGAGGGGACACACGGAAGGGCAGGACGAGAGGGAGGGAGGGAGGGATGGGCAGGTCGCCCTGAAAAGCTGTGGCTGCCTCATCCCTTGAAGTGCCCAAGGCCAGCTTGGAGCAACCTGGGCTAGCGGGAGGTGTCCCTGCCCGTGGCAGGAGTCGGAATAACTCTTGAGGTCCTTCCAGCCCAAACCATTGCAGGATTCCATCACAGAACCGTTAAGGCTGGGAAAAAAAAACCCCTCCAAGATCATCAAGCCCGATCCGTGCCCCATCCCCACCTCGTCCCTCCGGAGCACTCAGCGCCACATCCTCGGACACCTCCAGGCTGTGGTGACCCCACTCCTCACCACCACCTCCCCAGGTAGCCCCTTCCGAGGCACCGACCACCCTTTCCCACCATCAACACACCCCTCAAAACCTCTCCCCCCACCAGATACCTGAGGTGGCCGACGTTGTAGAAGCGGCTGGCGCCGTCGGCCGAGCGCACGGCCTTGAGGGTGAACTGGGGCTGGAGCTGGCGCAGCTCCAGCAGCACCACGGCCAGGTAGTGCACGAAGAGCAGGGCGTCCACCAGCGACACGGCGTACTGCACCACGCCCTGGTAGTTGCGGTCCCGCGAGTCCAGGATCCTGACGCCGTAGAAGAGCCAGTAGGAAACCACCAGCAGGAAGACCAGCACCATGAGGAGCGCCCGGAAGACGAAGACGCGGGGGAAGAAGGCTTTGGGGCGCCGGAAGAACAGGGCCCAGCTGCCCAGCAGGAGGATGAGGAGTTTGAAGGCCACGGAGATGAAGAGCCCCTCGCAGGGCGTCCCGCAGGGCTCCAGTTCCTCCCGCCACAGCAGCTGGGGCAGGAGCATGAAGGCCAGGGGGGTGAGGAAGGCCAGCAGCGCCAGCGCCCCGGCCAGCGCCACGCCCAGGTGGCGGGAGCAGTCCAGGTGGGCGCTGTCCTCCATGTCCTTGGTGATGCGGGTGATGTCATCGTGGGAGATGCTGTGCTCCGACGTCCCCGTCACCACCGTGGTGGTCTCGCCCCAGTTGTCGTCCTGGAGGGGGGGTGGGGGGGTGGGGGAGGGTTACACGGCCCTGCGGGGTGTTGCCCTCACCCAGACCCCACCCCACAGTTCCAATCCCACCCGTCACACCTCATCGCCCAGGGCGCTGCCGGGCACCATCACCCCCATTTGGGTGGTGGAACCCCGGGTCGAGGCGGAGATTGGGGTGGGACCCTCTGGAAACCCCCCAGTGGGGGCTCCTTTCCTCACTCCGGCACCGGCGAGAGCGGCTCTGGAAGTGGGAAGTCTCCTGCTGGCAGGCAAACCCCCTCATTGGTGGGGCCAGAAGGAACATGCCCAGCTCCTGTCCCAACACACACCCAGGAAGGAGTCCCTGGGATCCCAACAGGTCTCCTCCTACCCCCCAGAACCTCCTCCTGCTCCTCCTCCTCCTCCTGCAGCCACAGCGGTGCCGAAACAACCCCGTTCCCGTTTGATTCCTTCCCACACGTCTGTCCCTGGGTCCATCCCCTCCCTCAGCCCTTCACACCCTGCTTTGCAGCGCTTGGGCATCCCTGAAACTCATCGTGTAGCTTTTCCCACGAATTTCTTCAGGAAAGCCAGGAAATTCCTCCCTAAGAGGGCGGGGAGGCCCTGGAAAAGATTGCCTGGAGAAGTTGTGGCTTCCCTATGCCTGGAACCACATCCCTATCCCTGCAACCTGGGCCGGTGGAAGGTGTCCCTGGTGGGACTGGGTGAGCCTAAAGTTTCCTCCCAACCCAATCCCATTCCGGGATTCGGTGAATTTGTATTTCAAATTAAACCAAAGCCTCGTCCCGGGGCTTTTCCAGAGGGACAGGAAGCAGGAGGGTTTGGTGTGTGTGTGTGGGGGGCCAGGTTGTGTCCCAGCCCATCCCCAGCAGATCCCTCGATGCCACGGCTGGACCGGGCAGGCTCAGCCTCAATCGGCGCCGGCTCCTGGGAGAGGGAAGATGAAAAGAGCCGGAGCCGCCGGCGTGGGCGGCTGGGAGAGGATGAAAGCCCGGGATCAGGCTCCGTGGAGTCCGGAGGAATTTCCAGCACCCGTGGAAGGCACGGGGGACCTCTGTGGGCCAGGGAGAGGCACAACACGAAGCCTCCTCCACCTCCTCCTCCACCTCCATCGCGACCTCCGCGATCCCTCCGGGGGCTCCGGGCATCGCCCCCAAGGCGCGGGGTGTTAATCCCTGGTGGAGGGGAGCGGATCCCGAGGGGGATTGGATCCCTTGCGGGTGTTTTCCAGCCCCGGGGAGCTGCGACAGCTTTGTGGGAGCCGGCTGCTCCTTTCATTTACCCCCAGAGCCCCGAACCCGGCCCAACCGGCTCGACCGCTCCGCCGGGAAGCACCGGGAGAGTCGGGAACCCCTGCCAGCTGCTCCCACCCTTGGCAGAGCCTCCCCGGGGCGGCACCGAGGTGCCAATCCCGTCCTGCCCACCCTCCCCCTGGCCGACTCACCCTCTCGTCCCCCCGTGTCGACTCGTTGTCCAACAAGGGCTCTCCCGGCGCTTGGATGGTCACGGATTTGTCCCCCCGGCTCCCGTCGCGGCTCTTGGAGCGATGCCGGTCCCGCCGGTCCCTGGGGGGGGGGAAAAGAGAGGGGAGGGGAGCAGGGTGGTCGCAGCGGGGTGGCAGCACCCACTGGGAGGCCGGGGGGGACCCCTGGAGCCCTCACCTGTGCTTGCGGGAGCTGCGGGAATGGCCGGATTTGTAGGAATATCCCGAGTACTGCGACTCATTGTCCATGTTGTCGGAGCGCCGGGGCTTGTGCCGCTCCAGCCCGAGGGGTTTGGATCTGCCCGGCCCCGGGACGGCGGCCAGGGCCTCCTTCAGGGGGGGCTTCTTCAGGCCCAGGGGCACCTTCAAGAAGTCGACCGTCACCTTGAGGGTCTCTATTTTGATCACCTGGTTGGGCTCTTTCTCAGGAGAAAACGACTCGCCCACCTGCAGGGACCGAGGGAAGGCTCAGCAGTGGCATCCCGGTATTCCCACAGGGAATATCCCAGTGATGGGTCACCCACCCGTGCAGCCCTGGCAGCATCAGGGACGGGACAGCAGCAGGAAAAGGGATTTTGGGGTCATTTGGGGCGTTTTCAGGTTTATCCCGAGCCCGGGCCGGGGCCGGCACGGCCGCCCTTCCCCCCAATCAACCGCTGGGATTTACACCTTAATTAATACCACCATCATTAATCCAACTGCCAAGACAATGCCTGGGGTGGGGGCCCAAAGGAAGGGGGTGAATAATTGGGTGCAGACGAGGTTCCAGGCCCGGCTGGGCGAGGGGAGCTCTGCCCTGACACGTTCCCTGCTCCGGGATCCCACACCCAGGAGAGCCCCGGCCGTGGCCGGGAGCAGGGATTCAGGGATTCACCAGGGATGCAGCTTTCCAGGGGGATCCAGGAACAGCAGGGAGCTCCCAACCCACACGTGGTGTAAATCACACACGTGGTGCCCACCCACCCACTCACACACGTGTAAATGCCACACGGTGCCCACCCATGTCTGATGTCTGCTGGGACGGGAAAACAACCCCCCTTCCCAGACCCCAGGAATTTGTGGGATGCAGCAGGACCTGGGTGTCTCCAGGGGTCCCACTCCAGCTCATCCTGGTGATTTTAGGGCCCCCCCCAAAGTGCCCTGCTGTGGGTTTGGCACTGGGAGGCCTCTAGGGAGGGAATTTGGACGCTTTGGCTGCCTGAACCAACCCAGAAATGCTGGATCCCTTCGGAGTGTCCTGCAAATCCTCCTGCCATCCCCTTGAGGTGCCCGGGGGGGGGGAAGGGTCACCCCCAGCCCCCCAAACCCCTCATGGTGGTTCAGTCCCCCGACTGTGTTTGGGAGCAATTCCCAGGTTTCCAGGGAAATGCCATTTCCACCAGCAACCCCCCCCCAAAAAAACGTCTTTTGGCCTCTTTCCCGAGGCCTCCAGGAGTGGGAGCCGGGGTCAAGGAGGCAAAAAAAAGAGGGAGGGGGGCACCGGGTGGGGGGGGGAGAGGATTCTTTTGTCCCAGATGCTGGATGCTCCCACATTTATCACTATGGAAACAAAAGCCACCCCCTGTTGTCCCCCCCCAAAGCGTTGTCTGGGAGATGGGAACAGCGCCGGGAGCTCGTCCCGGCATTCCCAGCGAGCGCTGGGGGGGGGGGGAAGGGGGCCAGGAGAGTAAAAGACCCCCCCTGTGCCACCCCCCCCAACCCTTCCCCGGGCTTTGTTTGCGGGCAGGGATCGGGTTTCTGCCGGGAACAATGCCTGGAGCTGCCTCCACCACCCGGCTCCGGCCCCACCGCGGCCCAGTAACACCAGTAAGAGGCTGATACTGGGGGGAGGGTGGAGGGGATGGGGTCTCACACTCACCCGAGGGGCAGCGCGGGGGGTCCGGGCGTGGCGGTGGCTGCACCCCCGTCCCGCTGCTCAGCGAGGCACTCGGAGCATCCTGAGCCTCCGGAGGGGTCGGCATCCAGCTGGTGGGCACCCGAGGAGGGCTGGGCATGAGAAGGTGGGCTGGGGGTGGGGGTGGGCGAGGCGGCGGCTCAGGGGGCGGGTGGCAGCGCCGGGGGGTCGCAGTGGAGCTTTTTGGGGGAGGGGGGGGAGAGGAAGAGAGAAGGAAATCAGGGCAGGAACGCCTGGATTTCCCTCCGGGAATATCATCCTGCCCCTCCTGGGAAGGGCAGGGGAGGGATGTGAGGGTGGGATGGACTCCCCACACTC